ACAAATCTTAACTGAGAAAGAACAGAGGGAACAAGAAATCTGCATTGCAACAGCAAGCACACAAGGCTGACACACTTGGCTTGTTATTGGTCTTGCAAATAAGAGACAGTTGAAAGAAAAGGGCAGTAAGGGATTTCATTTGGAATTCAGATTGTAAAAGGTCTTTTACGGACAAGAATGGCAGAACTTCCAGTTAAATAAAGGCACTTTCATCTGTAATGCTGGTGCTCTTTTAATTCTACCGAGAACAATCTCCTCCTTTTCCCCACCAAGGAGAATTTGATAGTCACTCAGTGTCATTTCCATCTCTACAAGACACCTCTAACTGCAAAATGATACAGAGAAAAAAGCAGAACATCTGTTCACGCTGTCCTTCACTTCTGTCTCAGACACACATCCTTCTAAGGACATGAACAATTATAGTTTTATTACCTTTAATGTCTTCCTCATCAAATTTCATTCCACTGCCTGTCCCAGCTGAGGTGCATCGGGCAGTAACATTATAAACTCTTTTTAATCCTGCTGTTATTTCAGCCCAAATTGATTTCTTATGAATCCTGAGCAGATGAGTGTAATATTTCCCATTCCACAAATGTATTATTATCAAAAACTCGTTACCAAAAACTCTGTCTCTAGCTTACTTTATATTCTGTTATTTCAGAATATAATCTGAATCTATTTGGGTCCTTAGAACATGCATTTTTATAGTTTGTGCAACAAAATCCCTATTTGTTTGATTTTTAATGTACATTTCAATTTTCAGGGATTTTAATAAAAAACATTTTAATTAATATGCCGTTTTCATAAAAACCAACAAACACTGGAAGAGATTCCATCTCTGTAAGACGAGAGATAACGTCATATATGGTGCCTAACCTCAGTTTGACCTTAGTTCAGAGAAACATTTCTACTCCGAACAGTACATTGGCCACGTGTTGAACATTAGGCGTGTGCCTGACCCCACTGAAAATGAGCTACATGGGTCATCTGAGACAGAGATGTTTCACAGCAATCAAACAGAAAACTTGTTAACAGAAAGCATCGTGGGAGATAAACTTCAATTCATCAGATAATGCACATCTAAAATAATAAGAGTTGAATTAACCCATTCTTGTGTTTTCTCATACTTAAAAAAAAAAAGACACCAATACCACAGACCACTGATAAAGACTTCAACTTAGTGCTCATCACTGTTCTAAGGCAAACAAGCTGGTATAACTTACAAAGCATAAGACAGAAAATATAGAAAACTTTCTGTAAATCAATGGTTTGCTATTACCTGCAACAGTTGTGGCTGCCCTATTTCCAGAGAACACAACAGATGATATGAAATAATGATTTTTACAAACAAAAAACCATGGGGTGCTCCTGTTTCATAATGAAAAAAAAAAAAACAAAACCAAAAAGAATATCCAATGATACTGGAAGACAGCAAAACTGAACAGATGGAATTAAAAGCACATTAACTTATGAGAGGAAAAAAAATTAACCCATTATTCTGATCAGTATCAGATATCAGAGACCAACATCACAAAAAGGAAATTACTAATTGTATGGAAAATTACAGTATCAGCATTTGAGATATTGTTGAAAATACTGTAAAGGAGTATTGTCATTACACTGGGTCAAAATCCAACTAGTGTGTGTATCACGAAAATAATTCTTATGTGCACAAATTATTCTATAAAATCATTACTTTTTCAGGTACCTGTTTCAAAAGTATTTAGCTTTGCCCCTTGAAAGATTTAACTTTATTAATTTGGTCATATATGAAAATTTCTGTGTAATTATCATCAGTTTTAAAATCAGGAATTAACCCCAGTTTTCATCTTTTGTCTGTGGCCTCATAGACTCTATACAGTATCCTACACTTCAGGGAAATTTAAGCAGTTAAATGAAGTTAAATGAATAACCTGATACAATGTTATGGTGCCACCTTGTGATGTTGCATCTGAAGTGCCTCTCACATGTACAAGGAGGCAAAAATCAGCCCTGGGGGGAAAAAGAAAGGAGACTGTTTCTACGCAATTGTGAGAAATTGCAAGAGATTCCAACACTGAGTCTGCTGAGAAAAAGGAGCATGTGGTTATCGACTAACAAAAGAACATTCAGCATTTTAAGATTACATTAAAAGGGCATGAGAGAGCACAAAGTACTGCTGAAAAAACACCCTGACTTCTTTCCTCAACACAGATCTAATTACAGACAGATGAGTTAATACCACTGAAGTCAGCAGAGTTACTGAGGATTAGTATGGAGGTAACGCAGATCAGATTTTGGCCTGCAGGCTTTTATAAACCTCAGCTTATGGTATTCCCTTAAAACAATGATAAACTCAAGTGTGTTAATAAATAACTTGGCTATTACTTGCTTTTTGACACTGTTTTATTCACTTTCACTAGCTCTTTTTTGTCCCTAAGATGCCTTGAGTGTATATAAACTAGAGCAAACACATGCACTTAGCTATTTTAATAGAGGCTTTAGGTAATAGTTTTCCTTTTTATTTGTCCATTTTTGAAGGTAAATATAGAAATGTCGATTCATATTTAAGAACTTCTTTTTGCAATACGAAATGTATGCTCTCTTGCTTTTAAGGCCAAATTGAAAATTGTTTTAAATCTGAATCTCTTTTACTGTTTCAGCTTCTTTCCATATTGTCTGGTAGCCCTTTTGAATAAGTACACCTGGTTGAAGAAACACTTGCTAGTGAATTTGCAAGATTGTGCCAATAATGCTATTGCAGAAATACAGCTGTGTTTTTTTTTTAACCTCAAAACATCACTTAAATTTGCAGTGCATCACGCTGCACTCCGTTCACTCAACACTCTTCCCATAACAAAAGCTACAGTGTCAAGTCATCCAGCCACAGACAAGTAAGAAACTGCAAATACAAAGTTTCTTTAGAACTCTACCCTTTGCCTTTGCCATTAGGTCGTATAAGAACTTACCCGCTACTCGGTAGGATTATTTTGCTCTGGAAGCATTGAGAGCACGTATCTCACTCAAACTCCAGGAACACACTCTGCTGCTTGGGTTTTTGTTCCAGGAGATGAATGCAAGTCAAAGAAATAAAAGGAGTTAGGACAACTGCATACACTTCTACCTGCAGTATTCTGCAAGAATTCTTTAACTGTGGCCATGAGCACTCCTTCACAGGGTGCTCCTGATTTCTTTTTCTCTTTGTTTCACAGCTCACATGGATGACTCCAGGGTTAAACATCTCTGACTGTGTCTCTTCAACTGCTTTGTGACATTCAGGTCAGGGAGGACACAGGGAAACAACACACCAAGCACATTCCATGGCAACTGAGGTCTTCCTTTAAGAGGGGAGGATGATCTAATCATGGAATGACACACAGTGCCAGGAAGGAAAGAATTTTAGCTAATAGAAAATTTAAAACATAGAAGAAGAACTCTGATGTCAAAGGAAACTGACCTATGTCAGCAGCACCAGATCCTTTTGGTCTGAATAACCTGACCCAGAATCATGCAACCTGAAAGTTTTCAATACACACTAGTCATGACAGAAAAACACATCTCACAAGGATTTCAAGATTAAATGTGTGTCTTCAAAGAGATAAAATACTATCAGGCTGAGATTTCAATGAATAGGAAGTAATTTCAACATAATCTCTCTTTATGCCAGTGTCTTGCAAATCATTTGAATCAACTAATACATCTAACAATCTGCTCAATATGAAAAAGATCGAGGTTTCAATCTCTTCTTACTCAATCAGAACTGAGTATCAGGATTGATTTATGCTAATTTTAACTTGGGTAAGTAAGCCAAAGGGGATTCAGACTCTAATTCCTTTATGTAAACAGAAACCAGTAGGAGGAAGTATTAAAATGCTATAAACATCATCAAGATGATCACTCTAAAAAATATTTTTAAAATAAATGTTATTACTAACTACAAATTTCATTTTCACTGTACTGGCTTAGGCAAATCTGTCCTGTATACCCTGAATATCCAAGATGTCCATCGACACTTTTAACGTACAACCATACCATTATTTCTTCTTGATGCATACTGTTTAAATTTGAACAGGAAGCTACATTGCAAGCTCACCATATGCAAGAGGTTCTGGGGTAGATCAGCATCATCATCCCTACAGAAATGGTAAAAAGACTGATTTCTCCACTTCAATATCTTTTTCAATAAGAATAACACATTTCAACTTTTGAAAGATTTAACTTTATAGTAACTGGAATAGTGACCAGAAAGGAAATTAGTATGTGCTTAGCCCAAAAATTCTCAAAGCACGAAAGAATGCGTCAAAAGTTTTAATTGTGATGACTTTGATACAGAAGCCATGTAAGTGACAGAGCCCTTCTATTGACTGTTAAAACAGTAATACACATATGATTGTCTTCAGGCCCCAGTACCTAAACAATACTGGAATCAAAAAAAAGAAAAAGATCTAGCTGAATTCCAGCTGGAAAGGGAAGAGAAATATAGAGCTGCATTCATGCATTTTATGGGAAAGATTGCATAGCTGGTTTAGAAGGAAAATGTCTTTTCATGTCCTTAGTAGTAGTTCTGTGCTTCTTTAATGTCTTCGTGAGTTACAGATTATTATATTCTTCCATTCAACATTATCAGCCCATAGAATGAGTAAAATGCAAGACTCCCTTTGAGAATAAGGACACATTTTTAACTTTATCTTGGGAAGAAGTGAATCATGTATGCAGTTACCATATATAAAAGGCAAATATTTCAAGTTTCATAAGGACATGACAATCCATAAAATATTGGTTGAAGGTAAGCACCAAACCCAGCAACTGCCGTTTCAGTGACTGAAAGGCAAACCTGGGATGTGGTTGTCTTCAACACTGGGAGCTTGATCTTGACTGCAGTTCTTTCACCTAAGATAACTTCCATGCAAGATCCCCAGCTGTACAACACAGTGATAGAGGCATCTCATTAGTTAAGGCCCGTGCTTTCTTTCAAATACTCTTGGAAAAAGTCACCAAAGCAAATCTCTCCATCAATCTTCTTTTTTTTTTGCGCTTTTAAGAGCAGTATTAAATATTCATAAATATAAAAACTATGTGGAAATACCTTTAATAATATTCTGATTCTACCTGTTTAAAAAGAGAGAGAAAAAAATTAAAAGAAAATTAAAAAAAAGAAAACCCACAACCCAACAACCAACCACCTTTGCCAGAGTGCTTGGCCAGCAGTGAAGATAAAAACATGACTGTTCCAAATATCCTGTAGATCACATGATGCTGCTTTCTCTTTGTGGATGAGAATTATTTCCGTACTTTCTGCCGAGTTCTAAGAAGCCATAATTAGAGGACAAAATCCCCCAAAGTGCCTGAGATTCAGAAAGGCTGGACTGGCAAGTCATTTCTGATTACACTGGCTCACAGAAACATCTTCAGATTCTTATGTGGAAAGTACTGCAAAGGAAAGAAAAAGATTAAGAGAAATAAACACATCTGTCATTATGCACAACATTTTCCTTAAAGTACAAAAAGGAAGGTGCCGTGTAATCAATCTGAATCTCTTCTCCCATGCTCTCAGGAAGATTTAAGCATTCTGGGAGAAATTTCCATGTTCTGAAAATGTTAGCTCAGGGGGCCAAGCTCAGCACTGGATTTAATCAGGTAGAAATTGACCTATTTATTGGATATACAGCAGAGCTAAATGTTTCCCAATTGCACTTTTGCTATGGCACAGCATTGGGGTTCCTAAACAAGCCAAATTAGGCAGATAAATTTGTTGTTTCTCTTGTTAGAACCAAGATTGTTACCTTCTTTCTCTTTGTACTATGATCCAGGCAAGCAGCATGCCTTACTACTGCCATCCTTTTTCAGAAAAACTCCTAAGCATCTTGGCAGGACAGTAAAAGACAATTTAAAGAGGGTGTGCTGAAAGCTCACTTTCTCTAGGTAGCAATCTCTGTTCAATGTCACAACAGTATAAACCATATGTTTGTTTCCTTCTTGACTGAATGCTGAAGAGATTTTTATGTACTTTTGTATGTAAATACTATAATGTTGATGCCTACGCCAAAAGAAAACTTTAAAGATTTGGAGCATTTGAGAGGCTGAAGAGTTCTGGATGTATGGTTTTTCGATTTTGCTTTACAAAAAGAATGCTCTAACTTAATCACAGCTATTTGATTTGAGTCAGGAATTCACTGAAGGAAGCTCCATGGTATGCATTTGGAGGTAAAATGTTATGTTCACATTGGTCCTTAGGAACTTTGTCTCTAGGAACTTACTCAATCTGAGTGACACTGGAAGTTATGATGTACAGTAATCTGGCGTGCTAGCCTAAGTATTGTGAAAGCAAGTGTACAGTGACACAAAGAGCTTACCAGCACTAAGTTTTTAGAAAAAAAAGAATTATAAACATCTTGTTCACAACTCATGAAACGTTTAGAGTCCCACATTAATCCAAACTCTTAAAAATGTAAGTCCACTTCCTATAAGAGAGCTTCTGTTAACTTCAGCCTTAGGTAGGACCAGAGACAGGACATCCACTGTTACATGGGTAAAGGCCCACAAAGTTTTCTGAAATACTGCATTTCCAATGGCATCTTTTTGTTTAATCTGTTGTTTCTCTGTCCACTTCTGACAGCTCCCAGGTGTTACTAATGCCATATTCTTCTCAAGCTCCATTTCAAATTGTTATAGTATGTTCCACCCTCAGGCATTCAAATAAGCTTAAACTTCCAGGATGATTTATAAAACAATTTCCTGTGGTAAACATAACCAGTCTTGTAGAACAGAACACTTCGCTAGTGCAGTTCAGAGTGCTAATACTTCCATTAAACTACAAGCAGCTTCTTAATGACAGCAATTTTGAGTGAAATAAACCTACTGGGATCAAAGTTTCTGAACTAGCAACTGTCGTCATCATTTACAGCTTACTCAAACTTCCAGGATAACAGCCAAAAATCCATGTATCTTGTCCCTTGGTCAATGATTAGCAGTGTTTTCTTCTAGTCTTAAAAAAATTCTTCAACCACAGCAGTGCAAATCAAGCAACAGACTTTACTGCATCTTCACTTGCTTGACAGCAGCACAAAGCTTGCAAAGGCTGTCTCTAGGAGGTTAAACCTACATGGGGTCATTAAGTAAAGGTTTGATAAACAAGTGATGAGACAAGGAAAATCAGTCAATGTACAGTGGATGAACTTTATCTTATACCAGGTCAAAGCCTGGATCGTGGTGCCAAAATTAATGCCTGCTGTACAGATTAAGTATGCATGATAGTATGACAGCTTAAAAAAAAACCCACAACAAATTAAGCTGTGTGAAAAAAAGTGCTTCAAAACCAGAGTGTACATTATTTCAGGAATCTGGCCTTCCAAGGTTTTCTACAAACCGGGTAAAGAAGGTATTCTCCCTGAGTAAATTCATAGCTCATTTTAATGATAATGAGATTTTACAGTTGGATAGTTCACATTACAAGAGTTCTCAATGTTTGTCAGAAGTCAGGTAAGGCCTTGGTCCATGTAACAGAGCAGAGAGAACAAAAATGTTCTGTGGTTTAGCAGAGAGCACCTACTCAAGCAGTGGCAAAGCCAGGGATAAAACCTAGCTGCCTTACATCCTACATTTCCTACTCCTATGATGTGAAGAAGTGGCTTTTGTTGGGGTGGAAAGGCAAAGGAAAGAATAAGAAATCCTTTACTACAAATAAATATCACCTGGAGTCTGGTAAGTCAACATTTTCACAAGGATCACATGCCAGGTGCGGTATGGTATTCTAGGATCAGACATTCAGAAATGCTGATTGCCCATAGCTTCACAGAAGTCTCTGAAAACTGCAGTTTTCCAGCATCTCCAATTGCTGACTGGCAACCATTTTCAAAAGTGGCTATTGCTTTGGTTCCCAGGTGTTTAATTTTCACAGCCACTGAGCAGCTGAAAGCATACATCTATAGTCAAGATGTCAAGGAGACATCTTGATAACATGAGTTCACCATGTCATAGAGATGGATTAAAGTATATGCATTTAAACAGAGCAACAGGATGATCAGCCTTCCAATACGTGGTAGCCTAGTCCTTTGAGATTATCAGTATTGTCAGTGATCCCTCCCTCTCTATTTCTTCTTTACCTAATCTATAACAAGCTCTGTACTTTTTACTTCATCCCTCTTTTTACTCATCCTTCTTGTCCTGTTGAGTACCCAGCACTCAGGTCTTTCCACTCATTTCCTCAGCTTCCCAAAACATAACAAACTTGGAAAAAAAATATAATGATGACAGTAATTCCAGTAGCTACAGTGACAAATACTCCTCTCTGCTACTTGCTCAGGAAATGACTGGATCACACAGCATCCTCAGCTTGGAATTCTCAGTCAGCAGTTTGCGAGCCGCTACAATGCAGCAGTAAAGTCAGTCATGGCACAGGAAACTCCTGAAACTACAGCTTCTGCTGAGTCTTCAGGTCTGCCTTAATTCCTCACATTTGATCTCTGCTCTCTACCAGATCTGTAGGTACAGTGCAGTCTTTTCATTCACTAAAGGAAACTCTACCTGACCCCAACAGCTTCTATATGGATAGCAGCATAAAGAAAGCATTTTCTTAGCTGGAAATATACGTAAACAAAAGATTAGAACACCTATTCAGCTGAGTCTGATGATACATACCACGTTCTAAGAGTTTCTGCTGATACACTTGATTAGTCAAGGAATGTCTGATACGTTTCTAATGTATAAAAGACATTCACACTGACTTTGCAGCAAATCCTCTTGAGACACTGATGTTTCTCACGGTTCATAGGGTTCGTGTCCTCGTGCTTTATTGTAGAATCTTTTTGTTATAACATCTTTCCTTAGAAATTTCATTTATGAAAGAAACAAACTGCTCTGTGCTTTGTTGAACACTTAAAAGTTCTTAAACGTCATTAGCATTATCAGCCCAAATTTTGATCTATCTTAATTCTATCCTGCTGTTTAGCCTTATTTCCTATGAAAATACAGTTCATTCAATCCATCTGACTGTGAGCTTTTTTAATCCTCCCCCATAACTTCTGAATCCTTTGGCAGAATTCAACAACATGTGACTGAAAGATGATTAAGTTTCTGCCAATTTCCTGCAAACAGGCAGCTGTGTAAAAAGGAGTCTGTAAGTGTTCCACTTCATAGAAAGATGCAAAACAATTCCACATCTTTCCAGACATCAGAAAATCTACATAGATGAACCAGCCTTTGCACCTTAACTACAGGAAAAAAACTGAAATTGTACAGTATATTTGTAACATGTACACAATCTTTACACACATCCCTATTCAGCCAGCATAGATCCTTGCTATAGGCTTGAGAACAATATGGATTTAAGCTTACAATAGATCAAAATATTTTCCTGAAGAAACCACACAAACAAACAGGAAACTTTAAAAAAAAAGAAAAAAGGAAAAAGAAAAAGGAGATAATTAAAAGTCATTGAGCTCTTACTCTTCAAGTTAGGAGAGAAATGGAATATGCTCTAGAAAGGTAAACTGAGTTAGGGTAAGAAGTCATCCTCTAGTCAGCTCTCTGGTAAAGTACTTATGTCTGACATTTGTTGTGTTACACTACACAGCGATATCCTAAAAAAATACCTGAAAACATGCAAGAAATTATTTTCTTAAGATCTTTTTCTTGAAACAATACCTGAGAAAGTCTGGTGCTTTGGAAATCATGTTTTCAAAATCTGCAAACCCCAGCTTCCCATCGCCATCCATGTCAGCTTCTTCTATCACTTTCTCACAAACTAGAGTGATTTCTTCTGCTGTTAGCTCTTCTCGGGTCAGCTTATTGAGGGTTTGCTCCAAGTCTGATTTGCAAATGAAGTTATCTGTGTTAAAATCTAATCAATAAAAGAACAAAAGGAAAGATGACCAGCAACTCTCTCACTCATTTGCTTCAATCAAAAAAGGTGTACAAAGCATCCCGATACAGTACCGTAGATCTTAAAGGCATAGATTGCTTTAAGCTCTCTGGGAGCCATTTCACTGAGCACAGAGAACATGTCCACAAAATCATTGAAGCTGAGGCTCCCCTCTCCATCTTCTGAGAAAGATTCCACAATCCTTTCCTTGAAGGGATTCTCCTGTGAAAAACATATACATATACACAAAAATATTAGTATTTGGAAGATTAAAAAACCTGCAGATTCCCTGTTAATGATTACGAGTATCTAATTCTATGGTTGGCTCTTTGAAGACAACTTTTGTTCTTCTAAAATGCATCTAAAAATGTACATGTCCATGCTTCAGCAGACAGTGTCAGCAGAAGATACTGCTGCATAGTGCCACTTCTCACCCCAATTTTCTCAGCTTCATTGTCAATCATTCTCTCTAAACTGGTGCTCACCTCATTTCTCCTACGTGGAACACGTCTTTGTGAGTGTTAGGGTAAAAGTACTAAGAGTGTGAGTTTCGCTCGTAACAGGTTGCTGACAGGGTGTCAGACCAACGTGGTCAGGAGGGTTACAGCTCCCACATGAAGAAGCCAACACGTAGGAACAGGGGACAACAGGAGGGGAAGGAGACAGAGAGACCAGCCTGGAAAGCCAATGAAACAAACAGACTTTATGCCTTGTAGCGACACCGGGCTAAAGGCTGGAGGAACAAGTATTATTTATGAAACCACCTTAAAAAGTAAATAGCTGCATTCCACACCTGACTGATATGGAACCATCAATCAACCATCAACCAAACCATGTCTGTTCATTCAGGATGCAGTCACATCCCAGTAGAATATTGTAGAAACGTCTTTCATTTTCACTCTGATGAATACCAGTGTCCAACCTCTGGTTGAACTGACTACAAATTCCAGAGTCTTAAATGAATTTCATCTCTGCAGGAGATGATCCTAGGATCTGTTTTTAGCACCCTACCAACCCAGCTGGTGTCAAGGCTACTTCGAATAAGACAATATTCTAAAACGAAAAACACACAAGCAAGCATAAGAAAAGCTGCTTTAGTACTTTGAAGTCCAAACCAGATGTTTTTTATAGTTACAAAACATCTTTCTCACAGCTACATACAAAGATAAATTTGTAGCTCTGTCTGTAAAACTGGGAAAATCAATTCAATTCTGTTGATTATGAATAAAACACACGCACATCCTTTGGGCTGTGAGCAGCATCTCATCAAAGCTGTTCTACAGACCTTTTCTGAAGCCAAGACACCAATTAACATATTGATCTCCTATAAACATAAATAGCTTTGGTGATGGTATATCATGTTCATTATTTCTAATATGCATTCAGCATTTTATTTGGCTTTAAAAGAAGCAGTATTGTGAAAGCTCAGAGCTCAAACTTATATCCATTTAATTTCTTTTTTTTTCCTGTAAGTTTATTTAGCTAACAGGTATTCATGAACCATCCAATTATTTTAAATGACATTTCATAAAACAGCTGTATTTGAGAAGTAAATGACCAGAAAATGTTATTTTTTAGTTTACTTCAATTCTTTCTCGATAATTCACGCATAACATGTATTTATAGAGCACATTTTCTGCATACTTGCGGAGACTAAAAAAATACAAGCAGTGTGTACAAAGTAGTTACACAAACAGATTGATGTTTTATATTTATGTAGTATTCTTCACCTTAAAGGAACATCCTTACAAGAATTGGGCTACGTACCACTAATACACAGCTGCCCCTGAAGTCCAATTCAACAACTGTTACATGGTGCACAGCAGCTTACAACAAGAGCTGAAGATAAAGATGTTCAACTGAAATCACAGGGGGAATATGGATGCATAATGAAATTTGTCACTCACCCAGAGGCAACATTTAAGATACATTTAAAATAATGAAAAAGTTTTAAGGATTCTTGTTAGAAGACAAGCATAACATACAAAAGCTGAATTCCTCTAAGAGGAATGTGAGGTGTGAGTGTGCACAGGGACATTTCAAAGAGGATCCAGTTCCTGGAAAGCAGCACTTTTTCATCAGGTGATTGGAGAATGTGTAGATTCACACTATGGGATGACCTTTGCAGTGTCTTTTTCTGGGATGCAGGTACAAGGAAGTGGTCAGACATTTGGTACAAGGCATGGACTGATCAAGGCTATACCACACCTACATACATCTGGCAAGTCACGTCACCTGGGAAATCTAAGAACGGATTTCAGTGCCCATCCCAGTTGGACTTTTGAGATACTTCTTCACAGAAGCTATACGGGCCATTGACATCCTCACAGGGAATCCTGACTCTATCAGGCATTTTCTTTTAACTGATAAAAAAGAATTCAGAATACATCAACTTTCTAATAAGATGTCTTTGTGCCTTGCAGTTTGCCCTCTGGGACAACTTCCCTGGCAGAAACTAGTTGGAGTCTCAAAGAGGATCCAGTTCCTGGAAAGCAGCATTTTTTCATCAGGTGATTGGAGAATGCGTAGATTCGCACTATGGGATGACCTTTGCAGTGTCCAGTTCCAGGATGTGGAACTTCCATGGCAGAAACTAGTTGGAGTGTGCCAAAAGGCAGGTATCCATCTAATGGCAAACCATGTAAGTGTGTGTATCAGTCTTCTGAGGGTGGGTGAGATATAAGACATTGGAAGAGTAATTCCCTGAGGCAATCAAGATTCAGAATTCAAAAAGTAACCTTAACCAGAGATTTTGGCACCACTAAATGCCAAGATGGCTCCAGTCTTTCTGGCTGAGATGATGGCCATGAATAAGGCTGTTTTAATGGGGAGGTGAAGTAGGGACCACAGAGCCATAGGCTCAAGTAACAGCCCATTAAGGTAGTCGATACTAAATGCAAATTTTCCTGCAGGGTTCGATGATTAAAGTAATTCCACAATAGGGAGCATGTCTACAGATTTCAAAGGGTAGGAGATTAATGAGCTCACTGTGCCCTGAGAGGAATATGCAAGGCTGAGCCCGCACTAAATGCCAAGATGGCTCCAGTCTTTCTGGCTGAGATGATGGCCATGAATAAGGCTGTTTTAATGGGGAGGTGAAGTAGGGACCACAGAGCCATAGGCTCAAGTAACAGCCCATTAAGGTAGTCAATACTAAATGCAAATTTTCCTGCAGGGTTCGATGATTGAAGTAATTCCACAATAGGGAGCATGTCTACAGATTTCAAAGGGTAGGAGATTAATGAGCTCACTGTGCTCTGAGATGAATATGTAAGGCTGAGCCCACTGTTCAGATGAAGGCAAAACCAGGCCAAATAAAAATAAAAAAGAAATTAAATAGAGTAGGAAAGAGAGATTCCTGAAAATAAAAAGACAACAGGCTCAAAAATGCAGCAGGGTCACATCTCTCAAGAGTCTCAGAATGAAAAACAACACCCCAGAATTAGCCAGATGGCTGAGAGAAAGTCATTGTAAAAGGATACATAACGATCACTCACATTATCTGCAGGGTTTGTAGAGAAGATATAGCAGATGTGCATCTGTAGGTACTGCTGAGGCTAAAGAATCTGACCTGAGTGCTTGGAAATGTGCCTGTTTGTGGTATAAACATACAGACTCACTCATTGGAAAACAACTGATTCTATTATTTCAAATTGTCAGTTTATTAATAAGGCAAAATAAGATTCAGTTGGGTAAAATAAATGAAGAGGCCCCCTTTCTTCCTAAAAAGCACATTAAAAAATTGGTGTACCTGTTAAATGTTTAATATTAGAGAATGCTTAATATCAGAGTGGACAAGAAAACATATCATAAAAATTATCTTTTTTATGTCTAACACACTATATTACTTTTTTTTTGGAACAAACCTCAACAGAACTAAGTGTAATGGTAACAGCTGTAAACTGACATCTTAGAAGCAGTGTTGGGTAACAAACAGGGAGTACCCAGATGCAAATATCCCTATCAGCAGTGAATATCAAGCCTGGGACTTTCTGCATTACAGATGTTAGGCATGATCTCTGTGACTGAGGAAGCATATTGCAGTTGCATAAGGTGAATTAGCTATTTGGCATATCAGAGATCTTGAAGACATAGACGAATTAGCAATGAATTAAATGGACCGAAGCATGCTTCTTAAGTAACTCTTTGCCAAATGGATCTCTAAAACCTAAATGAAAAATAAAATCTTTCCTCATATCGATTTCTCTCCTTTAACTTTCTCATATTATGTCTCTTCAGGCAGTATATCTGTGGTTTACACAATGGAAAGTATTAGTTTACCTTCGCAGATACTTTTCACATCCTTTCTGTAATTTCATTACCTCTACTCTAAAGAGCACAGATTAGGGTTCCATCATATTTAAAGGAAAAGCCTTGGGGGAAGGGAGTACAAGGAAAAATGATACTGTTCCTTCCTAGATTGTTTTCCCTTAACCACCAATTGTATAAAAAAAATCCTTTTAAAACTAGAAACTTACACTTGTCATTTTAAAAAGCTTTTTCTGTTCTCTCACAACAAAAGTGAGAGACAGAAACAATAAAGAATTGTTACAGCTAAAACTCTGCTGTTTTGCAGATTGATGCTGCTGTAGTGGCTTGAGACAATCCTCCTAAAAGTGCCATCCATCTTTTTAGCTATCACTTATTCTACTCAGATAATTGTGTTTCTATACATTTTTGAATGCCACGTGGCATCGATTCCAACATCCAGACCTAGAACACCATACAATAAAATGGAACCATTAGTTTTCCAAGAAATTATTAAAGGGTTTATTCCTGAGACTGCAGCTAAATCTTATCAAGTCACTTATTATTTTCCCCTGTCCTCTACTTTCCATCACAGGCTCTAGGAAAGCACTGTGTTGCCTTTTTGCCCTGTCCATTTTCACAAGCAAACTACATTTTGGAAATAAGAGGTTGCAAGTAAAGCTGTAAGACAGGTCAAGATAACTAAGCTGGAGAGGCTGGGCAGTCATTATAAAATACCTCTCAGCTTTATATCCGCAGAAACATGATGATCATTTCCTCTTTTGTATTTGGACATAAGTCCCCACTGGCAGTAGGGAAGATTTTTAAATGCAGAAAGCAGTCTGTGTGGCAGACTAGTGGAAGAAAGAATCCTTTTGGATTATTTAATCAGGACTTATTCAGAACTGATCAGAAGCAAGCCTCTCTCAAATTTCAGGAGTTATTCCTAAAAAAAAATAGAAATGAACTTTTATCAGACAAACATTAATATAAAAATGGCTAAATTGTTCATTACCAGATCTCAATAGGAGAGGTTGGTGCTTTGGAAGGGCAGCATAACAAATGCAACAGCAAATTGTTCCTGGAGCAGATAAAAGCTCATCTTTGTTTTTTGGTTTTTTGCCTTGTCTTCTTCCTCAAAATCAATAATATTTTTTTTCATGTGTAGATGATAATTTTAATGTAATCAATGTCCTCTGCAGTGCCTACAGAGTACTGCACAAGCCAAGGCTAAAATACAGTTAAACTGGTATGTTTACATTGTAAAAAAATGATCATGTCATTCTGTCAGAAAGCAGAAACATAGGTCAGTTCAGCAATGAGCTCACCTCTACACTGAAGGATGCTCTATGGCCACAACAACCAAATAAAGATAGATTCTGGTTGCATATGGAATTGATTAAATATTAGAGAACATAATAGTATATTGTGGGAATATAAGGCATTTTAACAAAACCCGATTCACTAACTGTAGCAGGAAACTGCAGGCAATACTGGTTTAGACTATCAAACAGGTACAGATTTGGAGTTCAATGGAGAGAAAAATCCCCTCACTTACTACACTTGGAGGACATACAGTGATTGAGACACACAGTTAAAAAAGGGCTTCAGAGAAGCAAGAGTGGTCTGAAAGGGGTAAACCATCCCGTTGTAACTAGAAACAACTAACAGAATGCAGAGACAAAGACAACTGGCCAGAGCAGGGGGGGAAGCTCAGGAAGAGTATCAACCTGCTCTCTTGGGTGTCATTGCCCACTACATGGAGAGCTTTGAAACTATGGACTCATTGAAATTAATTCTAAAATTCCATCCTCTTAAAATTTTAGGAAGTGTTTTCATTTTATTTTGAAGTAACTCGCATGGGCTCATGTTTAAACTTACCAAAACAATAGGGTGCTAACCTATTGTTAGCTGGTTCTGAAAGGTGTGATGGAGTCACTGTTCCCTGCCTGTCCTTCCTCTCTCCTGGTGGGTCCCTGTGCCTGCTGGTCACTCTGTTTCAGCAGGGTGCCAATTTATGAACTACCTGACTCGCCACTGCAGCTAATGTCACGGCCTGCGAGGATCAATGGAGTTACTGCACCAGCCAAAAAAGGAAAGCAACAGACTGTAAAGTGAATGAAACAAAAGCACTTCCTGGAGGGGAACGGTTTTTATGACCAGCTCTTGAGAGAAGGACTGCTCTGCTCTGCAATAACCAGAGACAGGCCGTGCACCGACTGGAGGAGTCTGACGATGAGGGACGTACGTGTCACAAAGGTGGCCGCCCACCCACTTCTACAGATCATACATGATCTTGGCCATCAGGTTACATTCCCACATTCACAGGGATAATGTGAGTGAAATCAGTTTTGTTTTGAAATAAAATCACTTTTGCTTTCTATATGGTCTCCTACCGAACAGCCCGTATCATTGCTACAATTTTGCAATATTAATCGCTGCAATCTGACAGGTGCCCATATGCCTTAAAGTTAACTTATTTAACTGCTGCCTGTGTAACCAAAATTGCCAAAATTAGAGACGAGAAACTGCAATGAAACAGATGGAGTAAACTAGCTCTGTTAACCTCACTGTAATGGTAGACCTAATCAACTTAAAGTAGCTGCCCCTTCTTTATTTATTTATTTCTTGTCCTCACTTTCAACTTTTAGGAATCACGAGTTAGTGAATAATTCATTACCAATTAAAGTGAGTGACCATCAGCATTTCTTTTTTTCTTTGAAACACAAAAATCCTGGCTCAAAACATTAATGCGGGAGGTAAAGATCTTTCTTTATAGTAGCAGAATCTAATTTAGAAAAGTGCATTATTGATTGTATCCATTTGTCAGAAGCTGCAGTGGTATTGAGCTCAACATTGCCAGTAACTAGAAATGTAATGTGTATATGAAAAAAGCCAGGTGCATTGAAATTATCACTAATTTTATTAAAATTCAATAGACATTTAGTTCATCTATTTCTATTTTAAGATTTAAATGTTGGCTATGTCTTCACCTTGATGAAAATTTACTGAAGAAAGAAAACACCGTAAGGATTTATTTAGCAGTCTGGTCAAGTTGCAAAGGTTAAAGATATTTTTTTTCATAGTGTATGAGCTGGAGTTACCACCTAAGATTGCTGGGAACTCTAGGGGAACTCTACGGGAAAGACTCTCTCTCCCCCTCCCCGCCGTCTGCACAGGAAATCACAAAATGCTCCATGACCAAGACCCCGGTTTGTAACAGAGATCCTAGGTGGCACTTTAATAGCTTCTGGTGTCAATGTTTTGGAAGAGTTATGGAGGAAGATCTAGTCTCCTTTAACTGATATTTTACTGGAAACAAGCTCACTAGCTATTGAAAGCACTTTCTCTATGAACTGCTTGAATTCCTGAAATAAAATGAGTGGTTTGACAGCAATATTTTTAAGGTTCTTCCACAGCCTTATGAGACTTGGGAGAGAATTATTATAAAATCTGACACTGGATTTTGTCCTGCTGATTTCATAAAATCAAGTTCCATTGCCCCGGAGACATCTTCTAAAGCAGGGTCAGAAAGCCTCACAGACGTGGTGTGGTGCAAGAAGATAGATTATCATCCACTTTACTTACGGAAGTCTATTAGGAAGTCTATTATCATTACCACCTAAGTTTGCTAAGGTAGCAACATGTGCTCCTGTATCTCAAAATCTAATCATGGTGCAATATAAAATTTCTGGTTTACATCTCAGCTTAAGTACCAGGCTGTCTTGTAAATATAGTTGTCTTTTATCTCTAAGGTTTTCATAGAATGAGCCGTTCCTTAAGTGTTCAATCCTGTACCACAGAAGCAAAAAATAATAATAAATGTGTACGATTATAATTTCTGGCTTTCTTTTCTGAACTTAGCCTTGATTTTTCACTAAGGAACTATCAGCCACCTGGCAGCTAAAGTCTACAAAGTCACATAACTGAGTCAGAGAATTTCATATTGCACTATCAAGATCCTAGAGATAACAACATAAAACTTAAGGAATACTGATTGTCCCTACCAGATGTGCCAGCACAAGCACTTAAGACGCTACAGTGATGAATGAGTTGCAGACTTGTTAGGGAGATACAAAACTCCTTGCAGCAAGGGACGAATGAATCAAAACCCCTTAAGGATGATATATTTTATCATAAAGATAAGAATTCAATATTTATGCATAAGCAAAAATAGAGATGGCTGAAAACTATCAGAATACTTCAAGACGCTCCTATGTATTTAGACTTTGTGAAGCCCATGCTATTTCACCCTGCCAGCTACTAAAAAAGATGGATTAGCTTATTTTATATTCACGTAAGACCATTAGTATTTTTCATTGTATTGTATTGCATACATCAGTAATTTGCATTTTTATACACAGCTGTCCATCCAACATGACAGCATTTCAATAAGTTAGGTAAATATTCCTATTTCAGGATGAAGAATCTTCTTGGTTTTGTTCTAGCTGCTAAGCTTCAAATGACTGGTTCCAGGTAACTGCTAAGAGCAGATCCTTTAATTAAACCATCTCAGACAAATCTCACGTAAGAATAAATCCAACAGATCTTGGGACTGCTTCTAAGGGAGAAAAATAGTATAATATGGGAACGGTCATAATTATCAGTCCATGTAGCCCACCAGCCTAACTTAAACTGGAACCAGTAGCAGATAATTGGTATATCTGTTGATTTGAATAGTTGTAGAAATTATTACCTGTTAGCTCTCTGAAATAAATGGTAAAGAATATAGTTGGAGTGTATAAATCTGTTACAGTAAATATTTTGGGACTTGCTAAAAATACTGTATTTAGGAAGACTTTTAAAAGCAAAAATTTAAAAAAAAAAAAAAAAAAAAAAGAAGAGATATACACAGCTATCCTTTCTATAGCATATTCTGAGATTAATGCAATGAGCATTTCAGGGACTTTCAGTGTTAGATATTACATCCAGATCATAAAACTTAATAGTAATCTGTGGAATTCTGCTCCATAAAAGCACTTAAATAATTTTTGAAGACTAATGCTGTCTTGTGGCAATGAGTTCCTCCATGTATTCACACCTCATGTCAGCTCTCAGTAATTGCATGTAATACTTCCTTGTCCTTGTGAAAAGTAGTGCATAATTGTTCTCTAGTCACCTGTTGGTTTTTTATGGCATTGCTCTTGAGAAGTTTAATAAAACTTCATGCAACTATCACAGTGAACGTATAGTTGTTTCTTCAAGATAGTAATTTAAAGATGACAAGTAATTTGCATAGGTGAAAAAGAAAATAAACCATGAGACCACAGACAACAGAATTAATTGACTTGTTTAAAAAATGCTAAAAAATCATATTTGTCCTGTTAAAAACATATTCAATCATTAAACTGATAAAATAATAAAAACAAATACTGCCTCTTTTTTTTTTTCCAGTGATTGCTTTATGCCTACTGCTTCTCTCATTTGTAGTTACACAGACTGTCTCTCCACATCATGTAATGACTCCATGAAAAACTCCTGATAATTAAGAACAATAGTATTTATTGTGCTCTTGCAGCTGAGAAAAAAGGGAAAATCTTTACTTTTGATCAACAATGCTTTGCACACCTCTGGCAAATCTCGTATCAATGCACTGAGATAAGAACTGATTTCTAACCAGCTCTTCTCTGGCTGGCTTCTGAATCCCACTGGCTTCTAAGGGATCAATATATACAAAGTGGAAAGACTGCTAAATTTCATTTTATTTCCTACTCATTTCCTTTCACATCTACGCCAACTATCTCTGCAAGAAAAACATCCACCTAAATCATTTCCAGTTTCTGGGGTTGGTTTTGCCCTTGAATGGTAACAGGAAGGGGAAGACCTCAGCGTGCCACATTGCTTCAGGATATCAAACTCACTTGGCAGAAGTTACAAAGTTACAAAACTTAAGAAGATACAGTTTGTAAGCAGTCAGAAGTGATACCTTCAGCTCAGGCATGTTTATTATAAGCTGCATAGGTAGTTTAACATCTGGGTCCTTTGTATAGTCCATGGGCACAACGTTTGGTGCCATTTCATGGTACCGGCCATGCAACCTGTAAACAAGCAGAAAAAAACAGCCAATGACCAATTTTAAATAACCAATTCCATTCATACAATAATCAGACACAAATTTGTATTGCAGCTCTAATTATTATTTTTAGTGCACAAGTCTGAGCCCACCAAATCCCCATCTTTTTGGAAAAAAAGAGGGCTTTGATGCAGTATCCAGCATAACTGCTACTAACAGCCATGCGTAACCTGAGGTGTGTAATTAAGTAGTGTTTCACAATACCTGTATATAACATTTAAGCACCATATAGGTACTACATGCACAGAAGAAACAGGCCTGGACCAATGTCAGTATACCCAGGGATCACACCTCAGTGCAGATTATTGGTTGATCTGCACTACGCAAGAAAAAGTTGCTGTTTAATAGCTCAAGGAATTTAAAAGCCAAACAATAAGCAACAATGATGCTATAGATAACAGTATCCTTGGGGGACCTTACTTTGAATTCAAAAAGCCCTTTTCCTGTCTGTGTCTCTCTAACGTAGCAGATCGTGTCTTACAGTTCTAGCACTGGCTGACACCAGCACACAGACCATTTCCACTTCATTCCATTGCACGTATTCTTCTTTCATTCTTGGCTCAGCTTATTCAAACCAGTATATTTTTTAAAGCAATAAACAAGTGTTTTTTCCCAAAGATGCAAGTCAAACAATCACAAACCTAGTTTCACTCTCTAAGGCTTGCTTATGGTGCTAAAAGCAGTATGTTATAGTCTTGGTAAGAAAGCTCAGAAAGAAGCAGCAAAGGCCATGAAACACATCCATGTTTCTAAAGGTTTAGAAGCTGAACATCAGTAAATTATAAAAACTTTCTCAGTCTCAGGCACAACCTGGGAAAAGACTTCACAAGTGTTTCTATGATGTAATTGTTAATTAATTTAACAAGTGTTAATCCCACCCTTTATTTGCTGTCCCCAAATATTCCAGTGAATGATTTCAAAAGCCAGGAGAGAACAGCCATGTGTAAAGAAAACAGTAAATTAAGTAGGATGCAAATTTTAAAACTATCTTAGCACATTTGTTCTCACTGGGATGCTCACTCAAACTAGGAATAGAAACATTTCAAGTAAAATGGGTATCCAATTCAAACTCACCAATAGATCTCAAATGTTGAGCTGTAAAAAAAAAAAAAGCTACAGACAGAAATTGCCTGGTAAGTAAAATATTACCTGTGTAGAAGCAATTCATATATGAGAGAGGTTAATTCTACTGATTTTCTGGTTTTACTGATCCTAGTGATATCTCATTCTAGCAGACAAATATCTGGAATCCAGGGTTCTCAAATGACAGCACAAAAAGGTTGGAGAGGGAACACCTGTATCCTAATGCTCAAAGATTAGTCAGAAAACAATATATTTAGCATGAATGTGTGACCTGCCAATCCTTTAAGAAATACCACATGTAAAAAGACTAGGAAGGAAGATTAGGTAGCTGTTGTTCACAAAAAACTTAGAATATCAGTATTAAATGTAATTTTTATAATTAGTTTTATCAATTTTGCTTACACCTAATTCATACTGTGCTTAGGACAGAAAGTGGTTGTTTTGCTATGTCCTATGTACTAGTGCAGAGTATTCTGGTCTCTCATTAGGTCACATGTACTACTTATCCATATTGAAAAGCTGTATTTATTATATTGGAACTTACATTCATTTTAACAAAAAAAAGATCCTGACTGCTCAGTAGGTATTACTAACAATTACAAATAGAAATTAACATTTTTTTAAACAACAGAAGACAAACAAAACAGTAAACTGGAAGTAATGCTTCACCAACCCCTTCATCTTTCCAGCATTAGCCTCAACAACCCCTCAGTCAGCCCCACAAGCAACTGAGCTATTTCAGATTAATGTGGGTAATTAATTTCAAGAACTAGGAGAAAATAATCTACAGGCATCTTTTTACTCAGCACCTCTTTGGTCATGATTATGACGTGTCACAAAGAGCACGTGAAATAGAACATAGAAATACGTTTTGTCTGGACCTTAGGAAATTAATGTGTTTATACTGTGAAGCAATATACTGTGCCATACAGGAAATTAAATATCCACTGATCTAAGCATATTTCAGCTTCTTGCCACAGCTCACTCTGACATTTCATAAATACTGTGTAATACAAGATGCAACAGCCATCTCCCACTCCAGCAACCGATTTCTCTGTTGTAAAGAGCAAAGATGCCCCTAAATACAACAGGAAAAACAGCTTAACAGCACTTAAGGGAAAGCAAACCTTTAAAATCAAATATCCATCTAAGGACTTTTTTTTTTTAAAGCTAGACTACTGAAGTGGTGCCCTACTCTTCCTGAAAATAAAGCACTCATCATTGGAATGGCTTCACCATTGTGGGCAACATTTCAAAACACACGAGCTGGCAATGCCTGCCCAGTTTAACTGCCAAGATTTTCTTCTCTGCTTTCTCTAGTATTAGACTTTTCTGTCTTTGCTCTGTCTCCTCCAGCAGGACTATGAATACACGCACTGTGTTGGGCATCTTAAAGGAGTTCTCCATAATATCTTCCAGAAGACACAGAAGGGATTGGAACAAAGTGATTTGTGTTTCGTAGTTTCCCGAGCTTGTTATATCAATCTCAAATGCAAGGTATGGGATTTCTCTTAGTTTTCAATAAAAAGCTCTGAACAAATCTCTTGATTGGAGGGAAAAAAAAAAGTAGAGCTGAGTCTACTTCTACTGGGAACAAAGATATGACAAAATCCTAAAACTGTTGTGGGAAAGTATCTGTTACTGAAATGCAATCATATCACATGATTAAATAAACACCTGCTCGTGGTAACAAAAGCAGCCACCACAACAATGTGAATTTAAAGTTACTTTAGTACTGGGAATAACACAGTGCTACAACAGAGACTGAATACTCAGGTGACAAATAAGAAGTACTTAAGGCTGCACTTCATTGTCACCACTGAGACTCCCAGTCATTTGGTACTCAGCACTATTTTGGTAGAAATACTAAAGCTTCTTATGATGCTCACCAAATTAACTAAGAAATTTTGAAATTATATCTATAGAGCAAGAAACATTATTCCAACACGAGAAATACCTCTGTAAGGCACACGACAGGTTGCAATGCAACGTCCCTGATGCCATTTGCTGTGAAGCAACAATTTTATTTCAATGATGGAGGCTTAGAGGGAGAGAGATCAACAAGAGGGCACAGCCACAGCTCTTACCAGCTGCTTACTGATACTTCTTTTCTCGGGACAAAGGTTTAGTTTCTTTATAACATGCAATATCACTGCAAAGTAAACCCATCATTGCTGGCTGACAGAATTCACAATCTTGTCCACAGGAATTAACACAACCTATTTATACTGAAATGAATCTAAACTCTCCAGTAGCTGAAAGAAGGATCTGATTTTTCAACTGGATGATATTGTGTTGTTAATTGCAAAGCACTCAGCAAAGCAATTCAGTTTTGAATTAGATCTTAGAACTGCCTTTCTGGTCCCACAGGTATCAACTTATTTGGGTCTTCCAGTACAAGGCCAAAAAAGCATTCCTGTTTTACTGTGGGCAAGGCACCTACATTAACTGTAAATAATATAATATGTCCACCTGAAGGCTCCGTGGTGAGTACAATTACCCAAGACTGAGACATTCTCTTATTGTGCTCTTACTACAGACATTGAGCTTTTGCAAAAACTCAAGAAAAAATTATACTACCCTAGTACACTTACACCTCCGTAGAATGTAAATTCACTCATTTCAGAAAGCACCTCTAAGAAAACATTCAAAGCATCCCTCTGAAGGGACTAGGTTTTAGCTAAAAACACTGCCAAAGGACACAGAATAAAAATACATTCCTTTAGTTTGCTGCAACAGGTTAAGAGAATTAATTTCTCTTTCCTTTCTGCAAGGAATTATGGCCAGAAGCACGGAGTTGAGCAACACATCTGCTGACAGAACTCCATTTTTAGAATCCGAAAGGGAAAGGCATGTCCTGGGGTGGGAGGTGGGGAAAAACAACCAAAGCAAGAAAACTGCTCCTCCTCCTACCAAGTAACTTTACTGTAAGATATATATACGTCCCTACTACATACACATATTAATATGTTAACACGTGCAGTTTCTACACCTGTGTTTTATTTAGAAACATCCCCAATGCAGAAAATATTTATTTTTTACAAATGGATAGTATGCTGCCAGTCTGTCCATTTGAAATTGAGTCTTTCTTTTCTCTCTGAAGACGAGCAGAAAGGAGCTGCCAGGCACTAGTGAGTAGGCAGCCTTCCCTTTCAGCACACTGCCTCGGGCTCAGATGGGCTCTGCTGCAATCAGCTGGAAGGCAGATGATGGACACAGAAATGTGCAAGTAATTAAGGGTAGATTTGAGGGCAGCTCTGACATCCCGCTCTCCTCCTCCTAACTCTTCCATTAATTCACAAATCGCTCAAAGATCTGTAGGTATAAGAGCTTTCCACCTGAGTGGATTTCACACTAAAGCATCCAAATGAGTCTGTAGGAAGTGGCTGTGATCCAATTCCTGCAAACTAAATTGCAGCAATAAAATAGTCTTTCACACGCTTTTATCTGCAAGGACCCTACAACTTTATGTGTGATACCCTTGTCACCTGGCACGAATAGCAAATATCACAATGATAAAGGCCTTAAGATTTCTCTAGCTTAGGTTCCAAACCCAACATATAGCATGTTGCACAAGCTCCGTTATCCTTTTTAATAAAACATACAAACAAAAAAACCAACCAACAACAAAAAAACAGTAACACCTTTTACCACTGAAAGTTCTTTACGCTGGAAAGTTCTCCAGGGCCACCACACACTGTTCTATGACAAATGAAGCATTGGATTGCCAGTCTCTCAAGTGACCAGATTTTGTAGAAAACAAAAGCAATACATCACTACATCAATTTGTCACACCTCTGCCATACCGGGATCAAGGACTATGAGCAATACTGGTGTTCAGACCCCAGTAATCATCTCTCAAATGCTGCCCTGGTTGGCACT